ATGTTGCAACAATCTGGAGGATATCAAAATGTTGGGTTTACCAAAAAGGATCTCTACAATGACATGACATCCTACCATAGAAAAGAGTTGAGAGACGGTGATGCAGAGGGCGCATTAGCCTACTTGAGCGCGAAGGAAGAGTTGGACCCGTAATTCTATTTCAAGTATTCTGTCACCGATGACAATTCGTTGAATTGCTTGTTTTGGGTTGATTCGACATCTCGAATAGATTACAAGTGCTCTGGTGAGGTGGTGACGTTTGATACTACATATCGAACGAATGCCTATAAGAAGCCGTTTGTGATATTTGCCGGTGTCAACCACCACAACACTACAACTATCTTTGGGTGCGCATTACTTTCAGACGAGACGATTGATACATATGTGTGGGTATTGAATACCTTTCTTCATGCAATGGAAAACAAGATGCCTATATCTGTTATTACGGATGGAGATAAAGCAATGGCTGATGCAATTGAAAGAGTATTTTCTCAAGCGATGCATCACTTATGCAGATGGCATTTGTCAAGAAATGCCTTCACAAATATAAATGCTAAAAATTTTGTCAATGCATTTCAGAGGTGCATGTGTGCTTGATGCACTCCGGAAGAATTTGAAAATGGGTGGAAATCAATGGTCGAATCATTTGGACAGGAGACAAACAATTGGATAGCGGAAGTTTATGCAAAGCAATTCAAATGGGCCGAAGCGTACTTGCGAGGAAAATTTTTTGTCGACTTAAAAAGCACGCAACGATCGAAGAGTATGAATGCCTACCTGAAACGCTTTCTAAAAATAAGCCAATGATTATTCGAGTTTGTTAGGCATTATGACAGGGGCTTGGCACGGATCAGGGAGTGCGAGGCCAATGATGACTTTGAGTCGGAACATTCAANAAAATTTTTTGTCGACTTAAAAAGCACGCAACGATCGAAGAGTATGAATGCCTACCTGAAACGCTTTCTAAAAATAAGCCAATGATTATTCGAGTTTGTTAGGCATTATGACAGGGGCTTGGCAAGGATCAGGGAGTGCGAGGCCAATGATGACTTTGAGTCGGAACATTCAAGGCCAATGATGCAGACTGCACTGAGATGCTTAGAGGAGCATGCTGCTGCTCTATATACCAGAAATATTTTCTTCAAGGTCCATGATAAGATACAATAAGAAGCTATATTTTTTGTAGTGGATAAGATCGAGATTGAAAGTCATCGGAGTTACTATTTGTCTCGATTCACAAAACCAGAATCACGGTGGATTGTGCGATATTATCCTCAAATTGATGCATTTAAATGCAATTGCATGAAATTTGAGCCTTTTGGGATTCCATGCTCTCACATGATCGCAGTCATGAAGTATGAGCACATACAAGAGTTTCCTCATACCATTGTAATGGACAGGTGGACCATTAAAGCAAAATCTAGGTATAAATGTGCACATGAATGTGGAAACGTGCAACCGAATGTGTCAATTCCTACACGTTATGCTGGACTTATGTCAATGTGCAGTCAAATGTGTTATTACGGTTCACATTCGCTCTCAGACTCAAATGACCTGAGGAGTATGGTGCAACAAAGAACTTCTCTTCTAAAAGCCCGTAATGAGTCACTTGGCAAACACGATGCAAATGTGACGACTACACAATTCAGTGTGAATGATCCAAAAATTGTGAAAACCAAAGGTAATCATAGTCGTGCATAAAAGAATATTCCAATCAACCCGCGAAGATGTAGTAAATGTAGGGGCACTGGCCATACTGTTAGAAAATATCCACTCTTAACGTCTCAATCCAATGATCCATTCGAGGATATGCCCTTTTCACAACCAGTTGGATCACAGCCACCACAGGACATTCCTTTTTCACAACATAGTGGATCAGACCAACCACCCCACATGTCTTTTTCACAACACGATGGATCGCAACAATATATGTCATCATTGAAAGAGGATGACCGATGCATTCCCTTTGTCAACGAGGGTATCCTCAACTATAGGTTCATATAATACTCTTTGGATGTTTACATATTTTTTTTCATATGTACTCATTCCTTGTTATTTTAGAATGAGATGTCAAGCTTTGATTCTACCATTCAATCACAGTACATCAACACTAGTTTCAATGGAGGTAATTACAAAAATTATAAATTTTATCCCACAAATTTTGTTTTTCCACCATTGTCATCTAACCATCAATTTATGCTATCACAGTGGGCACCAAGATCATGGAGCAAGATGGGTTGAAGAAATTTAAATTTTTTTACAACTTTGAATGAATAGGTTTAATTTACATTCTCCATTCCAAGTTTATTTTTTTTTTTCGCTTTTTTGGACGAAGAAGAGGGCAGGAAAAACATATTATGAGTTGAGTATTGCTTGTTAAAACATATTTCCCTCTTCGCTTTTTTGTTGCTTTGGTGAGTATTGCTTGTTAATTTCTACTATTATGAGTTATTATAATAGTCTAAGCCNTTTGGACGAAGAAGAGGGCAGGAAAAACATATTATGAGTTGAGTATTGCTTGTTAATTTCTACTATTATGAGTTATTATAACAGTCTAAGTCATAGCCATGATTTTTCATGCACCAATGCCGAACTAAATATGTTTTATTGTGCATTCCCACAACTTTTTGGTTGTAACATTATCACTTTTATTTGGTAAGATTACCAATTATTTGAGGTAAGATTACCACTTTTGAGGGAAAGATTACCATTGTTTTAGTTAACATTATCATTTTTATTAAGAGTACCATTTTTTTTTGTTAATATTACTATTTTTTTGGTTAAAAGTTCCATTTTTTTGGTTAAGAGTACCATTTTTTTTTGTTAATATTATCACTTTTTTGGTTAACATTACCACTGGTTAAGAGTACCATTTTTTTGCTTAACATTACAACTTTTTTGGTTAAGAGTATCACTTTTTTTGTTAATATTATCATTTTTTTAATTAAGAATACCACTTTTTTTGTTAACATTACCACTAGTTAAAAGTACCATTTTTTTGGTTAATATTACCACTTTTTTTATTAAGAGTACCACTTTTATTGATAACATTACCATTTTTTTGGTTAAGAATATCACTTTTTTGATTAACATTACCACTGTTTAAGTTAAGATTACAACTTTTTTGGTTTACATTACCACTATTTTGTTTAACATTACCATTTATGAGGTTAAGTGTACCACTATTTTTTTGTTAAGAGTACCACTTTTTTGATTAAGAGTACCACTATTTCGGTTAACATTACCATTGATTAGGTTAGCAGTACCACTTTTTTGGTTAACATTACCATGGATTTTTTGTTGAGAGTACCATTTTTTTTTGTTAACATTACCACTGTTTTGGTTAATATTACAACTTTTTTTGTTAACATTACCACTTTTTGGGGTGGTTAAGATTACAACATTTTTGTGTGTAACATTAACACTTGTATTTGATAAGAATACCACCTTTTTTTATAAGATTACCCATTATTTGAAGCAAGATTATCACTTTTTTGAGTAATATCATCATTTTTTAGGGAGGATTACCACTTTTGAGGAACATATTACTACAGACACTGTTTTTACCAAAATAAAAAAAAATTGTTTACAGAAAACAAAACCAGAAAAAACTGTTACAAAAAAATAGATTTTATGTTTTTGTAATGGATTTTCTGATGCAAATTCTGAGACAAAAAACAGATAAAACTGGTACATTTTCCTGAACCAGCTGAAAATATGCCAAGCAATAACTCTTTAGCTTCCACCCTCTAAATCCAGAAGGATATTGACAGTTCAGAATCAGCCCACACCACAGCTTTGTAGCATCAGAGGCTCTGCAGAAGCAGCTCAACAACTCCANCAGAATCAGCCCACACCACAGCTTTGTAGCATCAGAGGCTCTGCAGAAGCAGCTCAACAGCTCCAAGACTAGCCCAGCAATCAGTAACACTAGCTCAGTAACTCAGCAGCTCTAGGATACTAAGCCCAATAGCAATAGCTCAACAGCAATAGGATACCAACTCTAGTTCACTGCATACAACACCCCAAGAAACACTTATTCAACCTTTATCATCAAATACCATAGAAGTCTTAGTGCGCAAAATACGAAGACCTCTTTGATCCTACAGCCTCTGCTTGACAGCACTGGAAGCTGGCCACTTACAGAAAATTCAATAAACTGTATAATCCATGATCCAAAGTAAACTGTACACTCAGCCTGAAATTGTATAATCAGCTTGAAAATTCAGTAAACTGGAAAATCAACTTCTCTATCAACATGATCCAAAGTAAACTGTAATCTGCTCAACAAAGACTAAATTTGTTCCAAAAGACTCAGCAAATGCCAAGCACAACCCATAAAGCCCTTAACAATCCTGACTAAAAAAAATATTACATAATTCCAAATAAGAACATTAATGACAATTTGTTCCTTGTTTCAGTCTCACTGCAAGACACAATGGTGACAACACCAAGCACCATAAATAAATTNTTTGTTCCTTGTTTCAGTCTCACTGCTAGACACAATGGTGACAACACCAAGCACCATAAATAAACTGTAATGAGAAGATCAACCTCGGCGTTTAAAATTGAATTCTTTACATGATCTTTTAAAAGATTGGACCGTTCTTTGTCTCTCTCAAGACTCCTCATATCCACCATAATTCCCAAAACAAAAGGGTTGAAAATAATAACACGGGTATTATATACAACAAAGGAAACAATACGGCACAATCACATTAATTCCTTGTACATTGTAGGATATTTCCTCATCATCACAAGGTGAAAAATAGATAATATTATCACCACCTTTCACTGAATAATAAGAAATTTCTTTAGTGAATAATGCACAAAAACTGAGAGAGAGAGAGAGAGAGAGATGGAAATCCATATACATATATTTGTTTCATCACATTTCACTACTGCTACTTCAACTATTGTATCAACAACCAACAACTACAATTATATATAATTCTCACTTCCTAGCTATTTCTTTGCTTTTCATAAAAAAAGACTCAATTCTATCCCACCCTACTATCTATTTTATCCAACCTACTATCAATCACATTGAGAGACTCCTTTATTTCATTTTGAGTATTTCCAAATTCCTCCATCATTCTTCCCATGAGTATCATCACAGATGCATATATAGACAATCGTTCATCCAATGAAGGAAGACCACTTGTGGAAGAATTTGGGACAGCTTGGGCTGCAATATTATCCTCAGGTGCAACTTCATTTTGAATTTCAACTTGTGGCTGAGTTTTCTTATTCTTCCCTTGTCCCAAACCCTTTTTTATTGTCCCACCATTAATTGGATTCATGGGAGTAGAATAAGCATCACTTGAGTGAATCACAACTCCACAATCCTCCATAATCTTTGAAATCAAAATTGGCAATGAGAGACATTTCTGACTATCATTCGTACCACGTGCCGAAATAATTTCATCAATTATTAAACAAGGTAGATCTATACTCATACCCATTCCAATGGCATATAGGAGATAAGCTTGATCAAGTCCAAAATCAGCATTATGTGCAATTGGACGAATATTGTATCCCACTATAAGGTTTAAAATCCTATATTTAGGAGTCAGGTGTTGCTGAAAAAATGATGAATCAGTAACACTCTCACTAAAATTANATATAGGAGATAAGCTTGATCAAGTCTAAAATCAGCATTATGTGCAATTGGACGAATATTGTACCCCACTATAAGGTTTAAAATCCTATATTTAGGAGTCAGGTGTTGTTGAAAAAATGATGAATCAGTAACACTCTCACTAAAATCATTAGGTATACCCTCGATTTTTGTATAAACATCTTCCAACTTAGGTATGTGCTTAGAATTATTGAATAGATAAGAATGTGTATCATCATGACGGAAGAGTCGGTGAACTCCCAATATTTTTGAAACTAAATCTGGGGTTACTTCAAAACTCACCTTCCTCACAAGGGACTTAAACTTGTGATTAACTTTATCAATGTCATGCAGGTTAGAATAAAATATCTTCACCAATGTATTATATGCTTTATCCATCTTCTTGATATGAATTGAAGAATTCCATCAATGAAGAGCAAAAATAACATCTAATCCTACATCTTTTAATTCATCCAGTACAACATCCCTCTCCAATAACAAAGGTCTATTATAAAAGCAATTATCATATCGATGTTTGCAATCATCATTGAAGAAAGATATGTCTTCATTGGATGAACTTGTTGGATTGGGGTTGGATGAACTTGCTGGATTGGGATTGGGGTTGGGTGAACTTGATGTATTGAATAAGAGATCAATTGGATTGGTGGAGGTGGGATCAATTGGATTGGTGGAGGTGGGTTTAACTATTGAGGACGGATCAACGGAGGGAGGATGATTACATTTCTTCTTCTTCTTCGAGGGACCTCCCTCATTACAGCTCTCTTTCCTCTTCATTTTTTCACTGGTATCAACTTTTGGTCTATACTTCTTGGTCATTATACTGTGCTTAAACAAGAAAAAAATCTGCAATAACATGGATCATTATCTATTACTTTTGAGCAATAACAATTAACAATTGAGCAACTTTTGAGCAATAGCAATAAACCATCATTCACAAAAAACATAATTCTCAACCCATGTGTACAAAATTATTATGAAATTGAGAGAGAGACAGAGAGAGATAACTATGTATACAAAAATATGATGAAATTGAGAGAGAGAAAGAGAGAAAGAGAGAAGACATANTGAGAGAGAGAGAGAGAGAGAGAGAGAGAAAGAGAGAAGACATAACCTTGGAGAAGATGAAGGCGGTGGGAGTGGGTTTTGGGTTTTCACCGATTTGGGGTTTTGGGTTTTCACCGATTTGGGAGGTGGTTGATCCAAAAATGGTTGTGATTTAGGGTTTTGGTATGCAATCAGGTTGGTTTTTCACCCATTTGGGTTAGATTTGGGGTTTGAGCGCAGATTTAGGGTTTTTANGGTATGCAATCAGGTTGGTTTTTCACCCATTTGGGTTAGATTTGGGGTTTGATCGCAGATTTAGGATTTTTAGGAGTTTGGGGGGAATAGAAGACAAGGGAGTTGAGAGAGACTTAAGAGTCTTGAGCGATCAACTTGGAGACTTTGGAGTTATCCCTTGATCGCTAACAAAAATCTCGATCGCGTATGTAGCGATCGGTAGCGATCAAGTTGCAAAATAATTTCGCTGAACTAATCTCGATCAAGATGTTATGGGCTAATTTNTGGAGACTTTGGAGTTATCTCTTGATCGCTAACAAAAATCTCGATCGCGTATGTAGCGATCGGTAGCGATCAAGTTGCAAAATAATTTCACTGAGCTAATCTCGATCAAGATGTTACGAGCTAATCTCGATCGCTCAAGATATGTCCAATAAATTTCACTTATACCCCTAATTTTAACTTAACCCAAAATATAACCCCAACAAATGGCAATTTTACCCAAATATTGTAAAATTTTTCTTATATTTTTATTTCAGGTTTAAACANATGGCAATTTTACCCAAATATTGTAAAATTTTTCTTATATTTTTATTTCAGGTTTATATATGATAAATAACTATCATATTTTAAAACTAATTTTAATTTCTATTATCACTTAAAATAGTGGTGAACTTAGATAATGTAATCTAACTTCCTAATATTTTTAACTTAATCTAAAATGGTATATTTAATGTCACTCAATAACCCCAAATATTGTAAATTTTTTCTTATATTTTTATTTCATGTTTAAATATAATAAATAATTATCATTTTAATTTCTATTATCACTTATTTTTAAAGTGTATAGGGTTCATGATTAAATTTTTTAAAATGTAAAGGGGTTCATGTTCACTTATTTTTAAAGTGTATAAGGGTTCATGTTTAAATTTTTTAAAGTGTATAGGGTTCATGTTCATGTTCACTCAATAACTTCAATTGTAAATTTTTTCTTATATTTTTATTTCATGTTTAAATATAATAAATAATTATCATTTTAAAATTTTTAAAGTATAAACCGAAACCGTGAAACCAGTTATAGATTTTTATAAGATTTGGAGTATACACGTGACGAGCATCTGCATCCGATTCTTTTAACTTTTCGGTATGGTACCCATTTTTACGTTTTCGGTACCGAAGCCTACTCCTCCACAATGAGGCATTAATGTTATTCCACATAATTATAATCTTCCACGCTAAATGCACCTATCCAATTTTGTAGTCACTTGAGGAACGAAAAGTGCATGTGGCCGGTTTCTGTTGTGATTTTGTACAAATGATCATCGTATGAACAATTCTAAATTGTAAAATATAACATACGGTAATAAACATGGTCCACCACCTCCATCAATTCAATATCCAGTTACTCATTAAACTACTAGACGCCATTCAAAGCAAACGAAGTACATATGAACCTATTTCTTCTACAAGAACCTATCAGCATACAAAGAAACTAACCTCAATATTATAAATGCCAATTTTTCCATTAAACGAAGATGCAGATATGACACTGGGGCATGTTTGTTTCGAGTATAAAATTTAGGTGGTATAAGGTTTTATATCCATTTCATTCCACTCCAATTCAATAGTATATTATACCTGGTGTTAAACTATAATATCATCATTCTCTTTATNAACTGGAATAAGACAGCTCATTACTCCAAATAGTAAAATACATAGAACTGATTGTTGTAATGCCTCCAATAAATAACGAGAGAGAGAGAGAGAGAGAGAGTTTAGCATACAAGTAGTCAGAACAACACGAATACGTATCTCAACAAGTTCAAGCATGCAATTACAATAATCAATTTTAATCTCACATGAGCGGCGACTCAGTGCACGAGACTCTTGTCATTGTCTTACCCTNTATCGGAGGGCATTTCGATCTTTTTAATTTATAATACATATATCAAGAATATAATATCATCCCCTAGGCAGTATTCATTAAGACCTTTTACAAGGTGTTATAGTTACCGTTCATAGCGGGTAGGTATTACGATCCAAAAAATAGTACTGACTATAAAATATNCGATCTGGTATGTAACTCAATTGCAACTCAATTTTTCTTCTATCTCTTGGCTTTTCCTCCTATTTTGTAATTTGCTATGTCAGATTTGGTATTTCATTGGGTTAGGGTTTTAATTGGGGATTTGGTTTTTGAATTAGGGATAGATTGAATTTGGGATCGTTGTAATAGGCGAACTAGGTCGCTAACGAGGCCTGTTTGGGTTCGTGTGACCCTGATCGCGGAATGTAGGCCTTTGAGCGTTTTCTAGTAACCCTGGTTAAAACACCTCAAAACTTAAGAATTCAATATTCAGTCATTGATTCATTTTGATTTCCATGAAAACAGAAATGTGTCACGATTTCTACCATTTCCAAAAGAAATTTAGATTCTTGATTCTAGGTAAGACATTTGATTATATTCTCACTTCATAATCTCAAACAAATGCTAAGAGTCCTACCTAACCCCTCATATATTTCAATTTTATTGTTTTTCCTTAAATTCTTTTCCACACAATTTTTGGTGAACTACTTTATCAATATGCATACTATGAAATCAAATAACACAGATCCTTGATATGCGCAAATAATTATGGACACTCTCAACAAATACCTCCATAAATATCACAAGGTTCAAAAAATGGTAACCTCAAGCGAAATTACAATGCATTCAGGAACACATGAAAAATAAAAATGTCTTTTTATTTGTTGGATTGTCTGAGTAACAGAATATATGAACCTAAGCAATAGAATTGTACGAGTACATAGGCTTGTAGTGTACATATGTGTTTCGATAAAATATAAGTCAATCATAACAAGATCCAAGTGTTAATGCCTACATGGAAAGGGAGCAACAGCAGAAATGAATAAAAAGTAAGGCAGTATTCCATAAATGATTATAATTCTTTCTGCCTTTCATTAGGTGTGAGAACAGAAGAAGTTCATGTACAGATTTTGAAGAAACCATGCAACCATGAAGGAGGCCAATATTGCCACTGATACAACAAGCCCAGAGGTTTCACTTAATACCACAATATCGAAGTGTTCAGTGTACTGAAGTCAAAAATATTGCTGAATCCTAAGGCATCATAAAGAAGAAAGCCACAACAAAACTGAGGGTTATTTTTGGAGTCAAGGTTCAAGTATTTTTGAAAAACTTCAACAGCATTTAGTAATCACAAGTGACTACCCTTCCCTGTTGCCTGCATCCTTTGCGCTATCACAGGGTACCTATGTGCACACAACAGGACATGCGTATTGGCACAATTGTAGCTCATTGGGACTTCAAACAGGACTTACGCCTGTACTGCCAGCAGACACATCGCATACCTAATTCCATGTAACCTAGACCATCCCACAACAACTAGATGGTTTTGTTATTACGGGTAGCAAATATTCCAGGCCAAGCTGAAGAACAAGTAGTTCAAGCTCCACTCGTGTATCTTCAAAAATTGTTCAGAATTGGCCCATACTCATTTGGAGTTTCAAAACATAAGTTCAAACTCGGCTCGTTAAGAATTTATCCAAACTCACACTCAGTTTGACTATGTTGTGACCTCCTAAACCAAATCAAGCCATAACTCACAGGACCAAAGGGCAGAACTCTTTTTAAAAGAGAGCCCATGCTTCTCTTGTTTGTTTTTTGATCGATGTTGGATTACCCCTTATGTTTGACGCCTTTTTGTGCACCCTTACTCTCTTCTTTCTTTGTTTGGTAATGTGGGATTTCTTGGTTTTAGATGAAGATATTTTTTCTTCCTTATTCCTTGTGTATTATCTTCACATTGATTTTACAGTGCATTTGAATTAA